ACCGTGTCGAGTTTACGACAGCGGGGTGACGATCGCAGTGGTGGGAGTTRGYACGTGGCRGCCGGGATCGYCRGTGCGGGTATGAGGATYGATGAGTGGAGTTGAGTGAGTGATTCGCGCKGGGCCATATTGGAATTAGCGGCGAATGCGCCTTTGTTGTTGCGGATCTTTTTTCTCTGACAACGCTGAACTTCCTTCTTTTGGGTTGCGTCATCTCCTATCTCGACTCTCCTCCCTCACCTTCCCCTTCTCCTCTATCTTTGAATAATGATGTGTCTCGATGCTTCTCTCCTTCTCTCTCTTTCTCTCTTTTGGATGAGCATGAATCTATAGGCTTTCCTTGCGTGAAAGAACTTCCTCCGGAACTCTTCCATTAGTTTCCTGGGTAATCCTCCTACGCAAGGACCCCGTCTTCTTGTCTTGTGAACGGTGGATGCGTGTGTACTGATCAAGCAATCCATCTTTTCCTATGCATGGCTCATTTTTCGCACCTTCCACAGTGGATATATGTATGGAGATGTGTGACACCCCCCCCCTCCCCCCATCCCTTTTTTTGCATTGATCAGACGATTATCGTCGGGATTTTGTTCGAGAATGCAAGAGTGCTTAGATCTGTAGATATGAATGTACTGCGCATGCCATCTGCCTTATGCTGCACGACATCAGCAGCCGAGCTACGGGGCGGCCTCGAGAAACAAGGCGCTTGGGATCAACGTCGCGCTGGCTCACTAAACCTGAGCCGCGAATCGGTCCCTTAGTTATATGCATGATCAAGCTGCTGAAGTGTTTTATTTCGCCCTCTCTCTCTCTCTCTCTCTCTCTCTCTCTCTCTCTCTCTCTCTCTCTCTCTCTCTCTCTCGTGTTGAAAGGGATTGATTGTGAGTTGTGCGAGTGTTTTCGTTTCTTGATGATGTCGCAAGGTCTTTACAATTGATTGATATGTGGACTGAACAGTACCCTCCGATCGGGCACCAGCCTCCCGCAACACGGCCTTTTCCCTACAACGAGGGAAGGATACGTGTATGCGAGTGGGACGTACGAGAAGCCGTTGCACAAATCGGCAGGTGATATTACTTCCCTCTGTCAAATCGTTGCTCAGGGTTCGTGGAAGTTGGGTTTGTCATTATCGATATGCACTTCCCACCTTACTCGATATTGTTGTCATTCAACGAGTTGATCGTCATCCCGTGGACGGCAGTAGAACCCCACTGGCCGCGCACTCTATGCACCGAATGTCGGCGTTTTGAGCGCTACAAATCCAGGGGTTTCCACTACCGTGTGCGGAGTGAAGACGAGCATAAAAAAAGAGCCACGTGGCTGAGACCATCCACGTCAGACTCGGAACTGACCAACGAACGACGACGAGATTTGATACGTAAACGAGACACGCGAAGCGTGCCGACGCCTTTCCGTTCTAAACGACGGGCTGTAGCCCGGTGGGAAGCTCGACAATTCTTTTTGGATTGAATTTGGATTTTTCTCTTTTCGCGCCGTGCCTGCGCGCGCATTCCGCGATGTGCAAAAGCAACCGACTTACTTCATCGGACCAACACGAGGGATTTCAGTTCCATCTGTGTCCCCACACTCAATTTCCAACAATCCTTGGCACACCCCATCTTGCTGTTTTTCTGGGCCTCTTTTCGCACGCCCAACACTCCGAACGAAAGACAGCACAGGGCGTGAGGTTGTTATCGGAGCCGACACGTGTCGGTTCTGATGATAGTAAGTCAAACTGGCGAGAGGTAGGAGAGGCCCTGAACTAGCTCGTCGGGATCGCCCAGTGACCAGGTCTCAATCCGGTGCGGTTGCACCCGCCATGCCGATGGCAGACAGTACTAGGGTGATCGTTAGCATCCCCGCCCTCTTCCCCTTCTTCCTTAACCATACCCATCCCGAGGCTTGGCTGGAAGCTGTCGAACCTCAAAATTACAGCGCAATCGATCTTCCCCGCGTTTTGACATTGCTACTCCGCAATACGTCGCATGACTGGTTTAGAAAACATACATGGGTAGATTGGGATACCTTCAAACAAGCCTTTTTGGCTCGATTCGATACGGTCAGTGAAGATGCCGCCTGATACGTGCTAAAAAATCGGCCACAAGGACCCGGGGAATTGTTGCCCGATTTTGTGGATCGATTTCAAACCACGGTGGACAAATCCGGGCGAAACGAGAAATCTGCTCGAGATTTGTTCATCGATCTCCTACGAAGTCCCACGTTGAAAGGGAAACTGCAGAAAAAAGTCCCACCGAAGACACACCAGCTCCCCGCTATCATCGCAAAAGCACTGGAACTAGACCTCGCGGATACAAAAAAATACATCAGCCAGGGAGACGAAGATATTACCGATACCATACGGGATGTAGCGGCAAAAACGGTTTTGTCCCCGCCTCGACCATGACCGTCCCGATGGGGTTGCTTCCGATATCCCGACTGTCTCTTCTCCCTCTCCCCCTGTGAATCAACCGATAGCGGTCGTTAAGAGCAGAGTCCCCCATGAGTCCCCCACGCCGGTCGTAACCAACCTACATGTTGCCCAAATGATCCATACGGCCACTATTAAGCAGTCCGAATGGATGAGCAACTTGATCCAAATGCACGCCGCTCATATGGAGCGGATGGAAGAGATAATGAACAGACTAATTAAGCCTAACCCGGCCCCTGCTCGGACTGCCCTTGCATCATTTCCGCTCTTGCCTGCCCCACCTCCTCAAGGGTACGCACCTCAGTTCCCTCACCTAACTAATCCGGCAGGAAAGATCGAGTGTTTTAACTGCAAACAGCCCGGACATTTCGCCCGAGATTGCCCGCAGCCAAAGCGTAGTCAGCCCCCACATGCGGTGGGCCCTGTGGCCCTGAATCAAGGACGAGTGGCCGCATTAATGGATACGGCCCAAGGAGGGGAGCTCGTGGCATATGCCCCAGAGCAGCCTTCCCCTTCGACGACAATGGCGTCGACATCAGGAGCTTCCTCCTCGGACGCTGCTGACGTGGTCGATCCACTTGAATACCGTCATCTTGCAGGCATGGTCGGAGCGATCCGATCGGCCCCTGATAATCTCGAATGGGTCGATCGCGAATCCAATCCCGGTCAGCAGTTTCGAACAGGAGATATTGATGTGTTACGAGCACTCAAACAATTGGATATTCGTGTTCCGGTTCCAGTGGGACATCTGCTCACCATATCCAAAGCAGCAAACGATAAACTTTTACAACATTGCCAGAAAAATCAAAAGCGCTTCACCTATCAGCGCATACAGCGGATGTTGAAGAAGAAGGAAGGAAGCGAGGAAGTTGCACAGCCCGAACCCAAGCCGGTGAACCTGAGGCTGCACGAATAGCAGCGATCTCATTAGCAGAAAAAGATCACTTCGTACGAGCTCGATTGGTACTATGGAAGAGCGCGGAATGTGATTGCGAAGTTTGGGGCAAGCCGTTTAACGCTCTTATCGACACGAGGTCTTCTGCAGTAGCCATATCCTTAGATACTGTCAGAAAGACGGGACGACTCGGATCCATTCTTCCTCAATCTGGCAAAGACAATTATGTCTCCGCCGACGAGGAAGCAATGAATATCGTAGGCATTATTGAGAATGTGGTTGTAAAAGTCGGACGAGTACACGTCCTTGTCAATGCGCTCGTGATAGATGTACGTTCCTATTCTGTGTTGTTGGGACTACCTTGGGCGATGGCGGTGGGCGCACGATTGCATTTCGATTCGAAACAACTAGTGCTCACTCAAACTGGGGCAAAGCCTCGAATTGTCCCTTTGCGAATTTCCACCCGAACGATAAAACGAACCCCTAACTCGGCGTAAATAGGGATGATTCGATACATTAATCCCGAGGAGGGTTCTTCCTCAGATATCGATGGTGGAATCAGGGAACAGAATACGAAGAAGACTTGCCTAGCGAAGATGAATGGAAGCACCTGGTTGAACTTTTCGAACACGAAATTCCCGAAGAATTCCAAGTGTGCCCCGACCCTGCCTGAAGCTTCCACGTGGATTTAGGAAGCAGCGAGCTTGCGCCCCCGATAACCCCAGTTTGTCCTTCAGTCCTGCTTGGGGAACCCATACTACAAGTATCTGACTTGGCCGATGATTTGGAACCCCCTCGCACCTTGTACGAAGGAGCTCTCTCCTTACGAGCGCGTTATCAGCAAACGGAACAATATTTCGATGTTTCTGTTTTCCCGCCCAGATCGTTACTAACGACAGGAGCCACCATCGCTTTGATTAAACAGGAGGCAGGAGCACCGGTAAGTGATGTACCAGACCTGATGCAAGAAATGACGGATCTAACGGGACTAACTGTGGAACCGGCCTCGGTTGGTTCAGAGACTGATGATGAAACTAAAGAAAAGGAGATGATCAGCCCCGCTGAGTCCCAGATGATTGCGACTGTCTTTTCCGTTCACACCAGTAGTTTCGTTTTCTCTAGTGTCTACGATCGACGGGAACAGCCGGTTGATTGGGTTGATATGCCCCTTAAGATTTCGGGGGAATCAACAATCACCCTACCAAGTCACGTTCCCGCGGAACTTCGGAAGTCGTTAATCTGTGTGTTAAATGGTTACGTAGAAGAATTGAGCATACACGATAATGACATCGACTTAACTAATGTGATCGACCTTGCCATTCTCACGGGAGACCATCCACTCATTAGCTGCGTTCCTTACCGATACTCGCCAGCCCAACGAGCGGCCGCTTTTCAACGGACTAAAGAATTTGAAGATAATGGATGGATCGAACCCGCCTTAGGTCCCTGGTCTTTTCCCGTAGTAATCGTGCCTAAAAAGGCCGAAGGGATTCGCATTTGCATTGATTATCGAAAGTTGAATGATATCATGATCAAAGATGTTTACCCCCTCCCTCGGATTGATGAGCTGTTGGATGCGATTGGGAGTGCTCGATTTTTCAGCAAGTTTGATGTTCGCCATGGGTTCCATCATCTTCTTATTCGAGAAGAAGATCGGCGTTTGTGCTTTTCGAAGGTACGTGGCAGTGGATTCGATGTCCAATGGGTATCTGCAACGCCCCCGAGACCTTCCAGCGAGCCATGAACATGACTTTTCAGAATTTCGTGCGGAAGACTCGTTTGGCGCAGAGCATCATCAACTACTGCGTGATCATGTACATGGATGACATCTTGGTGTACTCGAGTTCCTACGAGGGACACGTGCAGCACATCGAATGGGCACTGCACGCGTTACGAGATGCGGGTTTCAAAGTGGCGCTTGAGAAGTGTCAGTTTTTCCTCACCACCATTTCCTTCCTGGGGCACATGGTGACAGACAAGGGACTCCAGCCGCAGCCGCAGAAGGTGGCAGCTGTCAGGTATGCGCCGGTACCTATAACTATCTTGCAAGTTCGCGCCTTTCTGGGCCTGGCCTCGTACTACCGAAGATTTATCAAGGGCTTCGCGGCGATTGCGGGACCCCTCACGAATCTGCTGCGCAAAGATCAGCCGTTGATCTGGACGCCGGAATGCGATCAAGCGTTTTCCAAACTTAAGGCTGCTCTCATTTCGGCTCCGGTCCTTATAAGATCGGATCCCGAAAAGCCTTTTGTTCTCATCATTGACTGGCAGCCAGAGGCAATTTCGGCGATCCTTGCCCAAGTGGGACCAAGCGGACTCGAGAGTGTGGTGGAGTATGCATCCAAACCGGTGCCCGCTTGCAAGCGCAACTACGCCGCTCCAACGGGGGAATGCTACGCGGCTCGCTGGGGAATCAGCCACTTTCGCGCTTACCTATACGGGCAAAAGTTCACTTTGCTAACTGATCATGAACCCCTGTTGGCTCTGAAGAAATCGAAGGATTACTCGGGCATGATCGGGCGATGGGCAACGGTGCTGCAGAGCATGGACTTTGACATTCGTCATCGGAAGCACGAGAGACACGAGAATGCAGACGGACTGACGCGACTGCACCGGCCTGAGAAAGTTCCGAAGAGTGAGGAGGTGATTCCGTGGAACGAACCCGAACAAGAGATCGGACCTCGGTATGGCCAAGTGGAGATCCTGTCGAAGCCGTAAGTGGCACGAGGACTAATTATCTCCAGAATTCAGCCATATCTCTCCTCCTCTATCATCATGACCACCCCGCTTGCCTCCGCAACCCCTTCATCTCCTACTAATTCTGCCCCTCTCACGTCCTCAGCTTTCTTTGCCACCCTCCCCGATAAATTCTGTTATTTTTGCACGTGCATTGCACAGGTCTATGGGGTCGACTGTCATCCTTTCGAAACCGGGTTTGTCGACTGGGTAGAATGTGCCATGTGTGTCAATCGTGCGCACGGGGCCTGCGTTCGATATCGGACGAGTAGCAAGGAATGGAGGTGCCCCCTGTGTAGAACGAACAAATTCCCCACGGAGGTTCGATTCGAGGCCGCCCGTACGGACGGCCCTGAATACGACGAAAAATACCGATGAGCGGAGGTTTGTACGGATAAAATTTTATTAGCGAAATTAGCGGGATTATCATTGGGTCACCTCACCAAACACGACAGACGTAGGGCGACCGAGAGATCTCGGGACTATCGATGGGTCAACGGCCAGTTCGAAAAGCGTAAAACTGACGGGTCGGGTTCGTGGTTGACGGTTCCCCATCCATTCCAGAGATATGATTGGATCCGATCTGCTCACGAAGAACGAGCCGCTCATTTCGCGATACGTGTCACGGAGGTAACTGTAGATCAGAACCGATGGTTCTCGTCCAATATACGAGATGATGTCAAATACATTGTCGCTAACTGTTTGGTCTGTGCCGCTGATCGCGCCCCTATACGGGGACCAAACACGATCGTACCAACGGAAGTAGAATGTCCTTTCCAACGAGTCAGTATGGACACGACAGATATCGACGTGCCACCTGGCCCAAATCGCTGTGAATATTCTATCCTGTTAGTATTAATAGACCATTTTTCCAAGTACATCGAAGTCTATCCCTGTAAGACCCGAAAAGCCGCAGAAATAGCCACGTACATCAAACGGTTCCTCTATACCCATCTAGATACGGAAGAAATTCTGACCGACAATGGGTCTGAATTCAAGGGTGAGGTAGAAGAAATGCTTGCGCGAAGGGGCGTTACGCTCCGACATACGGCACCCCACGTGTCCCAGTCGAACGGGTTGGCCGAAAATGCCAACCGTATGATTAAAACCGCCCTTCGCCGGAACTTAGCAGCACACGACACGCGTCCTTGGCCCGAGATCGTATATCAGATCGTCGGGATCCACCGGGCCACCCCTCACGAGTCCACGGGGTTTACCCCTTTTCAGCTTCGAACTAATAGCCTCCCCTGTGTCGACTACCGGGGTAACTCGGAAATTGCCAAAGCAGGGGGTAGAGACATGCGTGCAGCTCTCAAGGCCAGGGCCAAAAGGTACACCGAATTAATGGAACGGGCCGTCCCGAAGCTAGCCCGAAAAAGGCAAAGGATGACCGAACCAGACCATGGTAGACAGGTCCGTAGCTACGCGGCTCGGAATGGAAATGTTGGGCCCCAGCATCAATATAAATTAGGGGACCTGGTGCAGGTACGTAAATGTGCACGCAACCGGAAACTCGCTCCCAAGTTTTCTGGTTGTTTTCGCGTTGTTGAGTTCGGACCCAACGGCGCCAACATGGTGCGCATTACGCCTGAGGCCAGTGCCAGCCATAGCTCTGTCCCCATCGTCCGGCATACCTCCTACCTCCATCTTCTTCCTCCTGCTGATCTCCCTCCCCCTTCTTCCTCGGAAAGCGAGGAGAACGACGACGATCTAACTCTCTCTCCTCTTTCTCCCTTTTGTCCTTCGTCCTCCTCTCCGACCTCGCCATGAGTTTCATCACAGAGCAAGTTCTTGACGTACAGCTGTTGCAGCCACGTGGCCACATCTCAGAGATCCGGCAAGTTTGTCATCCTCGGCTCAATACGAATCTTCGGCGTTTGGCGCAATTTTTTTGCGACGTGGGTATCTGTGCCGCCACCGCGTTTCGAATCGAGGGGAGTCCTCACGCAGTAGTATTTGCAAAGGTAATCACAGTTCATCGGCGAGCGGCTCCCAGAACGAGCTATGTCACCACGGTTGCGGCGTTCAGCGGCGACATCAGCTCAGTCAATCCGCAAAGGCATACCACGATCTTGACCTCACTATGCGAGTGGACAGAGCAGGTGTCCAACGTGTGGCAGCACATTCTTGCCCGACCTAGGCACAATCTCATCCCGACCTTTGCGCCGGATCTTGGCGACATCCGCCGTTCTCCGCGCGAGCGGCCAGTTGTGATTCCCACCCTCGTCCCCTTCCCACATCCCCAATGAACCACGTCAATCCTCTCGCTCCTCTCTCTATCTTTGGTCTCCCCTCTCTCTTCCCCACCTTCTGGCAATCCGATCTTCATCCTTCTCTTTCCTTCTCATTCGATCCTCTTTAAGTCCCTCTTATCAATCTTGGGCATTGGCGGCTGTGGCGCGAAACTTTTGAGGAGTTGTCTTTTTGCTTGGCCAGAGTACAGGTGACGTGGACGCAGACCAGCGAGCATCCTGCGTGGGTCGGAAATCCGGAGCTGTTGATCATCCAAGCTTGGAGGACTAACGTTGCACAGGAGCTCATCGCGCCGATCGTGCAGTTGGCGGACGATCTCTCGCCCGACATCTATTCACAGAGTGACGACAATCCTTCTCCGCACGTTCTCGAGCGGTCGTTGGATCCATGTCTTCAGTGGACTGCGTGCTTGGAGGAGCCCAGGGACGAAGATACGCTGCCGTCGCGGCAGGAGTATCTGAAGCCGTACGATATCATCCCTCACGCATTCTATCCGAGGGCAGAGGAAGTGGTGGTCGACGACGATGATGACGAGGAGGACGAAGACGAGGAAACATCGGAGGAGGGAAGCTATAGCGAATATAGCGAGGGCGAGCTGAGTGAAGGAGAAGAGGAGGAAGAAGAAACCGGATCAAAGTGGGAAGCCTTGTCGAGGGAAGCGACGCGCACGGAAACAGAGGCGGAAGATCCGGAAGCGGCGCGAAAGCGCGAAGAAATTGTCACCGGGAAGCGCCAACTGGCGTTCGCCAGCTAAGCCAGCCTGCACATCGGCAACGATCCAACCAGGGATCCGGAGCCGCCAAAGCCTGAAGATGGCGACCCTGCAGCCGCCACCTCAAGTACCGCACGACGGACATGGAGCCGATCCCCCTCCTCCCCCAGCCCCACCCGTTCCTCAGTTCGCCCACGTGCAGATGCGGGCGATAGGCCTTCGTCCTTGGACGCTATCCTGCCGACCCCTGGATTTTCTCACCCTCGAACAGATCCGCACCCCCGTCACCTTCCCTCCCCATCCCTTCCTCCCCCATCTCTTCCGCGACTTCTACTCTACCAACCTACTCGCTACCGTCTAACCCCACAAATCCCTTCAACCCGCTGCCCCCACGTTCTGCTGGCATATCCTGCTGTCCAGCGCTGTCTGGGAACGATGCAACGTAGTCGAAGTCCACTCTGTAGCCACGGGGACAATCCCCGCCTGTCGCCACTACGAGTTCTTTTGAGCGGCGCTTTTTCACACCCTCTCCTCCTTCTATCGTGACTACCTCGCTTCCCTCCCTCGCAGCAGCGGCGATCACTTCCCCGACTTCCACCGGATCATCCGATATGACGAGCTTCCGGTGACGATGGAAGGGATGAATCGCTTCCTACCCCCATTTCCTCCCCGTCGTCCCCGTGAAATCCCCTCCATGTACCGCCTCTATTGGCCAATTCCAACTAGGAGGTAGGTCCCGAGACTATCTCTTCTCTCCCCCCCCCCTCTCTCCCCTCTTCATCCAATCACCAGGGAAAAAGGCACGAATCAGTAAGCTTCGCGAAGATCCCGCCATCGACGATGACGTCAACTCACGCTCTGATTCGACGGGCAGCGATAAACTGGGGTGCAGAGCACACGGAGAACCGGCGGACGATGATGGCGTCACCTGGATGACCATCGAGTAGTCCAGCAACACGAACCAATGGAAGATTGCAATTGAAGTTGGCGTCAACATGGAATCTGACCGGATCATTTGTTGATACGCTTGGTTCCTCATGCATCACTCTGTTCTCTCCCTCTCTCTCTCCTTCTCCGCCATGACATGCAATCAGGAGATCGCATAATTTTGGAACCCCCGGCGCGTCACATATGTGACGAACCACTTCCCGAACCCGTACTATCTTTCGTACCCTTGTTGTTGGTATCATACCAACCCCATAAAAACCCCGTTTCATTTTTTTTTCTGATTTTGGGTACCGCATTTTTGGCTCCCATCTTTCGGAAGCTTTTTCGACTCTCGGTTTCTGCTTTTCCTTTCTGCAATTCGGGAAATACATAGGAAATTACGTGCGCCTTAGTGAGCGCATAGGGAATTGGCCTCGGCAGTTGGGAATCCCGGGATAAGCGGAACGTCGACGTGTCCTTTTCGTGTGTGTGAATGTTCTTGGTCCCGTCGGGGAAAACTCTCGGAATTTTATGCGAATACGAATAGGCGTAGGATTTTCTTTTCCCCCGTCGCTCTTTCGCGTGCGGATATGGTGATTTCAATTTTGAATTAGGATAGAAGCAAGCTGTAACTGTTTCGGTGCCTTTTTCTCTCTTTTTGTTGACGGCGCCGCGCACGCAAAAGCTCTCTCCCCTCTGCCCCCCCCCGCATCGCTCCCTCCCGCGCTCCCTTCCCCTTCTCCCTCCTCTTTCTCTCTCCCCGGAACTGTTTTCCTTCTCTCTCTCTTTCTCCCGCTCTGCTCTTTGCGCGCCCATTTCCCTTTCTTGATCATCTGAATCTTGGACCCGTCTTGCGCTACTTCTCGCGCCTTTTCTCTTCTCACCCTCTGAGTCCAACGCACGACGCCCGGTCGATCCGTCGATAACTCCCGTTCGCCAATCAGGTGCGTGGATCAATAGGATCTTCCTATTGCGCAACGAATCTGATTGGTTGAACCTTGGGTTCCGAGGGATCAACATGGCGTTCACAGAGCACTCTTCTCAAAGTCTTMTCCTCCTGCTTCTCYTCTTASAYCTCAGCTTCCCCGTCGCTTTCTCCCCCTTCTRTCTCCCTSGTCGCAACTATAAAACCCRCAAGCGCGCCCGCAAATCTCTCTTACGTTCTCGACTCTCAAGCCARCTTCCGGGAAGCAGTGGCGAGGTAGAGTGTTTGGTGCGAGTCGKAAAGTCYTGTCGGGCTGATGATAGGCTGGCCGGTTGTGCGCTGGATCGCCACGACGGACTGTGGGATCAAGGCGAACCGTGTCGAGTTTACGACAGCGGGGTGACGATCGCAGTGGTGGGAGTTRGYACGTGGCRGCCGGGATCGYCRGTGCGGGTATGAGGATYGATGAGTGGAGTTGAGTGAGTGATTCGCGCKGGGCCATATTGGAATTAGCGGCGAATGCGCCTTTGTTGTTGCGGATCTTTTTTCTCTGACAACGCTGAACTTCCTTCTTTTGGGTTGCGTCATCTTCTATTTCGACTCTCCTCCCTCACCTTCCCCTTCTCCTCTATCTTTGAATAATGATGTGTCTCGATGTTTCTCTCCTTCTCTCTCTTTCTCTCTTTTGGATGAGCATGAATCTGTAGGTTTTCCTTGTGTGAAAGAACTTCTTTCGGAACTCTTCCATTAGTTTCCTGGGTAATCCTCCTACGCAANTGACAACGCTGAACTTCCTTCTTTTGGGTTGCGTCATCTCCTATCTCGACTCTCCTCCCTCACCTTCCCCTTCTCCTCTATCTTTGAATAATGATGTGTCTCGATGCTTCTCTCCTTCTCTCTCTTTCTCTCTTTTGGATGAGCATGAATCTATAGGCTTTCCTTGCGTGAAAGAACTTCCTCCGGAACTCTTCCATTAGTTTCCTGGGTAATCCTCCTACGCAAGGACCCCGTCTTCTTGTCTTGTGAACGGTGGATGCGTGTGTACTGATCAAGCAATCCATCTTTTCCTATGCATGGCTCATTTTTCGCACCTTCCACAGTGGATATATGTATGGAGATGTGTGACACCCCCCCCCTCCCCCCATCCCTTTTTTTGCATTGATCAGACGATTATCGTCGGGATTTTGTTCGAGAATGCAAGAGTGCTTAGATCTGTAGATATGAATGTACTGCGCATGCCATCTGCCTTATGCTGCACGACATCAGCAGCCGAGCTACGGGGCGGCCTCGAGAAACAAGGCGCTTGGGATCAACGTCGCGCTGGCTCACTAAACCTGAGCCGCGAATCGGTCCCTTAGTTATATGCATGATCAAGCTGCTGAAGTGTTTTATTTCGCCCTCTCTCTCTCTCTCTCTCTCTCTCTCTCTCTCTCTCTCTCTCTCTCTCTCTCTCTCTCTCGTGTTGAAAGGGATTGATTGTGAGTTGTGCGAGTGTTTTCGTTTCTTGATGATGTCGCAAGGTCTTTACAATTGATTGATATGTGGACTGAACAGTACCCTCCGATCGGGCACCAGCCTCCCGCAACACGGCCTTTTCCCTACAACGAGGGAAGGATACGTGTATGCGAGTGGGACGTACGAGAAGCCGTTGCACAAATCGGCAGGTGATATTACTTCCCTCTGTCAAATCGTTGCTCAGGGTTCGTGGAAGTTGGGTTTGTCATTATCGATATGCACTTCCCACCTTACTCGATATTGTTGTCATTCAACGAGTTGATCGTCATCCCGTGGACGGCAGTAGAACCCCACTGGCCGCGCACTCTATGCACCGAATGTCGGCGTTTTGAGCGCTACAAATCCAGGGGTTTCCACTACCGTGTGCGGAGTGAAGACGAGCATAAAGAAAGAGCCACGCGGCTGAGACCATCCACGTCAGACTCGGAACTGACCGACAAACGACGACGAGATTTGATACGTAAACGAGACACGCGAAGCGTGCCGACGCCTTTCCGTTCTAAACGACGGGCTGTAGCCCGGTGGGAAGCCCGACAATTCTTTTTGGATTGAATTTGGATTTTTCTCTTTTCGCGCCGTACCCGCGCGCGCATTCCGCGACGCGCGAAAGCAACCGACTTACTTCATCGGACCAACACGGGGGTTTTCAGTTCCATTTGTGTCCCCACACTCAATTTCCAACAATCCTTGGCACACCCCATCTTGCTGTTTTTCTGGGCCTCTTTTCACACGCCTAACACTCCGAACGAAATACAGCACAGGGCGTGAGGTTGTGCGCGTCACAAGGGTCTATGTACTGTACTCGGATTTCGAAGGAAACTTATATTCTGTCGCCTGCAAAATCTAGAGCGGATACCTTTGTAAGGGTATTTGCTCCAACACCGTGTGCAGGCTCAGCATGTAACACACACACACACACTCTTTTTCTTTCCCCCCCCTCAGAAAGTTCAGTGTCATTGCCCTAGAGGAGGTGCTATGAGCATCCCCCTACAATGGACTTACAATAGAACACTCCTGTCCATTAGTGGGGAGCGACACCTGCTGGAAATCGGGTCCAATGTCCCATGAACGCACCAGCCGAGTGCTCCCCTGACGGTTGCCTCACATTTTTGAATCAATTGAGCAAAAGTCCCTGCAGCCCGAACGAATCCCACCACCACCACCACCACACGCTTGGCGTTGTGTATAGCGAACATGATAAAACATAAACACATCATCACTACCCTACCCCTCCCCAACTTCATCAATAAACAAGCTACGGGTTACGTGCCTGTAGCCTCACGGTGAGTCAATAATGAGGACCAGTTTTGAATGGTTGGTGTGCAGAGCATGCATAGCCCACAAAGCCCCCTAATGGAGGCGTGGGATCTCAGCAATGAATAGAGGGATGGTGGGCGGACGATTCGAGTGCTAGACTGCTTTATCAATCGGGCGCACCCTACAGTTTGTATAGACGGATGAGAGAGTGGACGGTATATATTGCTGCTGGTTGTACGGCGAAGAGCTGGGTTTGAGCATCTGGGGCGAGGTCCCACTAGCAACGGGATAGGATAGAAACGAGTTTGTGGGGCAGTTGAGTGACCCAAATCCTGCCGTGCAGTACTCGTGATCGCAAGGTTTACATGTATTACCCGAAAAAGTAAGGAGATCTTTGTTCCCCTCCTCCTCTCCTTAACACTGGACATGCCCGTGCAAAGAACGTCTCCCGCCATAATCTTTTCAATAGGTTGG